CGCGGTGGCCGTGTGGTTGGGCGCGCACACGAGGAAAAAAAGCCTCACTACGACATCTGGGGCAACACGGTGAACGTGGCCAGCAGGATGGAGTCCACCGGCGTGATGGGGAACATCCAGGTGGGGCGACGAGGGGGGCACAAATCGGGAACCCATGAGGGGCTGCAGCCCTCAGAAGACCCCAGGCTTTGGGTGGGAGGTTGGGGCTGGCCGAGGGGCTTCTCCGAGCTGGGAATGGGGCAAGGTGATACAATGGGGCATGGTGGGTAGACCTGTTGCCCGAGTGGCACACGGGGGTCCCTGCTCCCCACGTCAAGGACCCCTCCGGCCTCCTGCCACGCCCGCTTGTCCCTGCAGGTGGTGGAGGAGACCCACCTCATCCTGAAGGAATACGGCTTCCGCTTCGTGCGCCGGGGAGCCATCTACGTCAAGGGCAAAGGGGAGCTGCTCACCTTCTTCCTCAAGGGCCGGGAGAAACAGGGCTCCTTCGTCAACGGCTCCTCCGTCACCCTGCCCCATCAGGTGGTGGACAGCTCGTGAGGGTCCGGCGCCCGCCCGCCAGCACAGCCACCGCCTCCCGGCGCCAAGCGGGGCGGCTCGGGGGGGGAACCCGGCACCTGCCGCCGGGGACACCCATCCCACCGCGGTCCGGATCTGAAACCAAACTCAAGAAACCAACCCCTTCGCACGACCCTTTCCGAGCCCCTGCCGGAGGTTCCTGGTGGGGGAGTTTGTTCCATCGCACCAGTGATGGAGCCTGGTGGGCTCCTCCGGCCGTTCACGCTCGCGTGCAAGCGCACACAAGCTCGCAGCCCCCGGTGGGCACGGGGCCGGGGACACACGCTGCCTTTCCCCAGGCTTCGCCGGGCAGGCGGCCGCACCACCAGCCGTGCCGGGGGACAGCATGACGTTAAAGTAGCATCACGGGCCCCGGCCGCCGCCGTGCGCTCGGCACGAGGAGAGCCAAACTCAGGGCCGGATGGGAAGACACCACGTCTCTCCTGCGTGCCGGGAGCGGTAGCTACAAACCGGGAGCGTCCGGGGTTTGCTGTTAGTTCGTATCAAGTTCATCCTCGTCACAAACCACCGTAGTTAGGAGATCGGGGAGACAGAGAGCGCAGTGCCACCTTTGACTCGGGGAAGAAAGGAACCGATATTGTGTATTTCAGATATATAAATATATATAAGAGTACAGATGGACATTTATATTTTTAACTGTGCCTGTTCCCTCCCTGCGGCGGGGCTTGCGCTTGTCCGGATGCCGCAGTCGGCTGCTGTCACTTCGCTGTCGCTTGACGGAAGAGAGGACCAGGGACTGGCCAAGGGGGGGACGGACCGGTGGGTTGAACCCAATGCTGCCAGGGCCGGGGGGCGAAGGCAGGCACTCGCAGAGTGTAATTACACCGCTAGTTTCTTGAATAGAAGCAGCTGAATTTCAAAGCCTGAATCTGCGCCTGCTTTGTTCTGGGGTTTTGGATACAGCAATCATGGACTCGTTTAGGTTGGGAAAGACCTTTAAGATCATCGAGTCCAACCGTTAACCCAGCACTGCCAAG